CGACAGACTAGGCGCCTCCGCCCGCCGCCGCGGCGCCGCGGGGCTTCGGCTGGTGCAGTCCGAAAACACGCGGGAGCGCGCGCGAGGTGGGGGGACGGAGTGGGAGGGGGGATGGAGGAGGGGGCACGAGGGTTTGGGGGGTACAGAGCCGGGACAAAGCAGGGAAGGGGCACGCAGGTCGTGGACAATGGGGGAAGGAGAGGGATCTCAGAGGCAGGGGGCTATGGGATGATGGGGGTGAAGATTAAGGGCATAGAGACTGGGGACACAGAGTGGGGAACAGAGGCAGGGGAGGAGCGTAGGTCGTGGGACACTAAGGGATGGGGAGGGGGCACGGAAGCCCGGACAAGGGGTAGGCAGGATGAAGGCTGAGCAGCACGGAGGCAGGGGTTAGGAGTGCACAGATGATGGGGCTATCGAGAGGGATGAAGGCTGGGAGGCACAGGGACTGGGGGGAACGAGTGGGGACAGAGACAGAAAGAGGGGAATACAGGTTGTGGGACACTAAAGGATGTAGGATGGGGAGAGGGGACAGAGGCTGATGCTGCGGGATCTGTGGAGCCCAGAGTGGAGACACAAGCACAGAAGGGACCCGCAGGTCCCAGCAGACGAAGGGTGTGGGCGGAGGGAAGGGGTTTGGAGGCCTGGGCTACCGGGATGGAGACGAGGGCACAGAGAGGGGAGGGACACTGAGGTGCTGAGATGCAGGCAGTGGGGGGCCCCCCGAAGCTGTGGGGATCCGAAGGGGTCGGCACGGAAGTGGGTGTGGGGTTTGGAGCAGGGAACTGCGGCAGAGGCGGGAGGCATGAAGGTCGGAGGTCGGAGGTCTCAGGGGTCTGAGATGAAGATCCAGCCCTGGATGAGGGAGAGACTGGAAGCCTGCCAGGCATGGACGCTGTGGGCGTCTCAAGAGGTCACTGAGGTCGTGGGGATTGTCACAGAGGCCAAGAGTCATGGAGGAGGTTATGGACAGGAGTGGACATGGAGGTGCGGAGCCGGGGTCCTGCTGAGTAGCAGAGGGTGCACGGAGATAGATGGGGGCACCCAGCAGCTTGGAGACGCCGGGTCACTCGCAGGTTTGGGGGGGGGGGCTTGTCGGGAGGCGCTTGTGCTGGTGGAGGCGGGGGAAGCTGTTTTTGTACTAACCGCCTGCGACTGTGCCACGCTGCGACGAACGGCCGCCCCTACCCGCACAGATCGGCCAGGGCGCTTGGAGCGGGCGGCGGCGCCGGGCACGGACGCTGCTGTGCCCTGCGCCCCTCCTCCCCCCGCCGCAGCGCCATCTTGCAGCGTTGCGACGCAGCTGCGGGCCTGGCGGCGAGTAGGCGGAGGCACGAAGAGGGGCTGTCACCTGCAGTTCTGGGGTTCTGGACAGTCATAGGGTCACTCATTCATTCATTCTCGGTCTAGTTACAGAGATCCTTGGGGTCCGCAGTTGGAGAGCAAGGGGATTATGCTAACTGGAAGCCTGAGGGAGTGGAGGTGTTTGAGCAGAGGGTCCGCAGCAACAGGAGCAGCAGAATGGTTAGGGTCAGCAGAGTCAGAGAGATCAGGGCCTGCCCTGCTTTTTCGAACATGACGCTTGTGAAATTTGGGGTAATAATCTCTGCCCATGTTGTCAGCAGCAGTGACCCAACACAGTTCAGCTGGAGGGCCAGTGGTCTTTGGGGTTGGCCTTGAGTTTATGGCTGGCCAGGTTTCAGAGGACTCTGAGTTTCCAGTCCTCTTGGAACCCCATGGAAAAGTGGTGGAGGCAGACCTGGTATTCTTGGAGTCACCAATGATGACTGGTTCATGAACTAACTTCATCCCAAGTTAAGGGGCCGGGCTGCAAGCACCTCTAGGTAAGAGGACTTTGGTGTGTGGCTCTTCCCTGTTCCTTGGGCAGGGTTGTCATGGAGTTCCCACACCCTTCAGTGTGTATACTCTGATGTCAGAGGACATTCTGTAGTTCTGCCCCCATGTGAGGGGTAGTACACCTCAAGAGCGTGGCCTGGCAGGGGCCAGGCTTATGGGAGAGGTGGCAGGCACATCTAGGAATGAAGGCAGAGAGGAGGCCCTGGACAAGAAGGCTGGGCTGAGAAAGAGGAGGAGGAGCACACTAGGAGCCTTCAGCGAGCTAGAGGGTGAGGCTAGACCTAGAAGAGGGTGAGTTAATGAGGCCCCCACCTCAGAGAAAAATTGGGGTGGGGACCCCAAAACCTAGCAGTCATGTCCATGCACAGCTACGTCACACTGTCCAGTCAGACTTGAAACGCTGACGTGTGCTGTCCCGATGGGATGAGCCACCAAAACAGGCTGCTCTGTGAGGAGGCCAGTCAGGAGGCCGCACAGTCAGGAGGCCGCGGGGGCCGTGGTTCTGTTTACAGGAACAAATGTCCAGAGCAGCCCCATCCACAGAGACCAGCCGCAGACGGGAAGTGCGGGGTGACCACGAGGCTCCTTGTGGAGCTGAGGACAGATGTGTTGGACTTGGGTAAAAGTGGCAGCCACAAGCCCAACGAACCCACCGACCAGCTCCACCCATTGAACGTGGAGGCAATGACAAAGCCCCGCCGAATCGTCAACTTTAAAAAAGATACTCCATTTATTTATTGTGTATGTGCACAGGTGTATGCCGGTCATGGTGCATGCGAACAGGTCAGAGAACGGCTTTTGGGAGTCACTTCTCTCCTTCCTTCTGTGGGTTTCTGGGATCAAACTCGGGTCAGCAGGACTGGAGGCAAGTGCCTTTACCCACTGAGTCATCTTGCCATCCCTGAATTACAGACTTTAAAATGTAAGCATTCAAGCTGTGCGGTGGTGACACACACTTTCAGTCCCAGCATTCAGGAGGCAGGGGGAGGTGGATCCCTGAGTTCAAGGGGAGAGTGAGGCTCAGGACTGCTAGGGTTACACAGAGAGACCCAGTCTGGAAAAACAAAACAACAAAGTGTTCAACAAAGTGTTCTTCATGTATTTTTGAAACAGGGTGTCGGGGAGCCCAGGCTGGACCCAAGCTATGTAGCCAATGTTAACCTTGCTTTTGTATTATATATGTTATATATAATATATAAAACATATTATATGTAATAATTTAATTATAATAATATAATTTATATATAATTACATATATAAATCTATAGATAGACAGAGACAGACAGAGAGAGACAGAGAGAGAGAGAGAGAGAGAGGTTTCTCTGTGTATCCCTGACTGTCCTGGAACCCTCTGTAGACCAGGTTGGCCTCGGCTCAGATATCCAGCTGCTTCTGCCTCCAGAATTCCAGAATGCTGGATTAAAACTGTGCACCACCACCTCCACTACCACCTCCTCCACCACCACCATCACCACAGCCTTGCTTGACCTTGAGCTTCTGATCCCCGTGCCTTTACTTCTAGAAGTGCTGGGATCACAGTCAGTCACAGCTCTTTGCCCAGTACAGTGGCAGTGAGTCTCAGGTTTTTTTTTTTGTTTTTGTTTTTGTTTTTTAAAGATTTATTTGTTTATTATGTATACAGTGTTCTGTCTGCATGTCATGTATGCCTGCAGGCCAGAAGAGGGCACCAGATCTCATTACAGATGGCTGTGAGCCACCACGTGGTTGCTGGGATTTGAACTCAGGACCTCTGGAAGAGCAGTCAGTGCTCTTAACCTCTGAGCCATCTCTCCAGCCCGAGTCTCAGGTTTTGACATCTTAGTAAAGTTGGTAAGAACCTAGTGATAGTGATTATGTCTCAATGCAGTATTCTAAGAGGCCATTTTTATGTTAAAGAACATAAAAAAGACATGTAAAATATTCCATTTTTTAGTAACTGCAAAAGCAGAGAGACAGCTGAGCCCCTAGAGCCTGAGGCCACAGCCACCAACAAGAATCCACCCTGCACCTTCATCCTGGCCATTCTGAGCAGAAAGCACATGCTAAAGACAGTGCATGGGAGGCCTAGTGTTCTTGGTCACCTGTCCAAACCTCCCAGGCCCCATAGTCCCAGTTCAGTGAAAAAGAAGACATCTTTTCTTAGCACAGGAGCCAAACCGTCCTGCATCCTGCCTTCTTCCTGCCCTGGGATGCTCCACCAGGGTCCCTGTGGCCGAATGAGACCATGGTGCTCAGGGAGGAGGTATGGTTGGGGAAAAGAAGGCATGGAGAAGGAGCATGGGAAGAGGGTGTCCCATAAGTGTCCTGGGACTGCCAGAGAGAAAGGACACAAATGGTGGCTTGAGGCTACAGGACTCATCTTTCCAAGTCTCAGATTGGGGTGTAGGGAGGACACACTCTTTCCAAGGGCTTCTGGCAAGGGTGCTTCCTTGTTCTCCTGGAATTCAGGTGTTCCTTCTTCGGCT